ATCTAGGTTCAGGACTACCCTCCTTACAGCCTAGACCCCAACCCCATTGAGCACGTCTAGAAGAAAATGAAGGAAATCCTATATAGGGACTTCCCTAGCCTACATTTACTCAAGAACGAAGCAAATATCGCCAGAATAGAGGAGGCCCTAAGGGTTGCATGAGAGAGGGTCCCACAGGACCTCATTGACAGGCTGATTGATTTCATGCCCAGGCGCTTGGCTGCAGTAAAGAAGGCAAAGGTCTGGTATACGAGGTGTTGAAGGCCTGTCAAATAGCTTCATTTTCATCGTATTTGCAGTGCCATTGGCCTCGAATTGACGAAGATATAGCCGTTGGAATGTGGGTGGTCAATTGTGGGTGGGTGCGCCAAGACGAGTGTGAACCTTTTTTTTGACTATAACTTTACATTGGATCTGAGCAGATGCGGAGACGCTGGGCGATTGGCCTAATAAGAGCCAGCGAAGAGATGATGTAGCCGTTCGACATGCCATTGCGCCCATGGCTCTTCGTGACATCAAATATCAGATGAACTCGCTCTCCAGTCAGCACCATACTTCTTTCCATTGAACTCTTTTCATCACTAATTCTCCCCAACCGGACTCTCATTCCTTGATGCAATACAGTCCCACGCAAGGGACGAGAGATGTGTGGACTAAAATATGAGCAAAGCTCTTCTTGCATCTCTCATTGGGACCCCTGTCCTCCAGTTCCGGGGATCAACGGGATCGTCTTGTCTCGCCATGCGTGTCAGACGACGGCATAGGCCGAGGCATAACTCACACTAAAGTCCCACGGCTTTTTTACTAAATTGCTCCTTTGGTACTGGATGAACTTAAACCTGCATTTCCCATCCTCTTGTCCACCGTTCGCTAGCGCTTCCATCGCCGCCATGACAACCCCGATGGGATGCCGTCCGCAGACGGTATTGTTGGTGTCGGCCAGCACTTTGTAGAATTCGTGGTGCGCACCAGACTGGACCGCATCCATGGCCATCTGATCCAGCACCTTGATGACCTCGTGAATCTCGGGACTCTCAGGATCCGCGGCCACCTGGCCCCAGTCTGGCCGGACCCGCAGAAACTCGGGTCTTGAACCCCTCGCCCTCGGTGCATCCAAATCTCGAATCGAGCCGTCGTGATATTCCGGCCGGTAACTAAACCGCAGGCCCCAGTGGCAAAAATCAGACGAGACGATCCAGGCGGTTTCCGGGTCCTTGAGGTACGGTGCGAGAAGATTGCCAAACGACCTTTCCTCGTCTTCGGATCCGTCGCCAACGAGAATGGGAACGATGGGCGGGAACTTGCTGCTGTCACCATCGAAGGTCTGCTCGAGCCTCTTCCACAGGTATGGGATATGCATCTCCAGAGAATGTTCGTCCACGTCCTTACGAGGTGGCATGTCCGAGAAGCGACCCGTCTGCCTAAGCTCCGAAGTGGTGGCTTTGTCCACAACCAGGTCTCCGAACGGAGTTGCGTACTTGTCGAATATCGTGAGGGCACAACCGCGTAGGTAGTAGGTGTGAGAGGGCCCGAGGACGAAGACTCGTTTCGCAGCGCTGAGATCGAGCGCCTTGTAAGCCCAAGCGGCGCAAGGCCCTGAATACGAATACCCAGCGTGGCTGCCGAAATGTGAGAAGACATCATTCTGGGGAGAAAGAATGCCATGTCTCAACCTACGGAGCGATTATGACTCTCGCACCGGGGACTGGGAGGCTGCTGCCATCCACCGTTGCTGGCACACTGCCTAGAAACTTGTCGAGCTGAGCGGATAGCTCAGCGGCGTCATCATCGTACCAGGACCCGGCATGGCTAGCCTCCCGTGTTCCCATTATAACCGTGCAAGAAACTAACAGACTGATGATTTTAAAGCAGCGAGTGAGTAAGGCAACCAACGAAGGGATCAATCTAGGATTCGAGGTACGTTCTTGTTAAAGGGATGGAATGGGGCGGGGTAGATACCTTGGAAAGGTAACCACAGCTTGCCCCGCACACACCCACCATCAAAGCTCATGCAGCGCTGACATCACTCCCATTACACCGCGATTGGCTCCGTGTATAACCCCCTGGCAGCGTTTGCTGCCCGACTTGTCCTTGAGCTGTGTAAACAATCAACTTGGACCATGGCAACAGAAGACACCACTTCGGGCAGTAAACGTTCACATGGAAGAACTCCCAACGCCAGCTGCCACCAACAAAGTCGAATCCGATCGGGTAACCTGACACCCCAACAGCCCCGGCACAGTTAACCTCCCAATGCCCTTTCCTTATCATGCGCATAACGTCATGTTCAATACATGCGGAGCAAAGCCCGTCAAAGCAACGCGTCACCGACCAGCGCAGGCTAGACACCGCCGGTGTTCTCCCAGGTTGCTCACGGAGCAACTACCGCAGACCGACTTCCCGCAGGCGCCGCAGACATGGCCGTATATGTCTACGTCTGCCGTTCCTAACCCGTAGCCGTCAATGTCCATCGCGACGAAGTCCCCTTCGTCGTCCAGATTCCCGCCGTCTAGCCTCGCATCGCAATCTTCGCACCTCGTTGATACTGAGGTGCTCCTCCCGCCCGCAAGAGATGTGACAGACGAGGCGGGCGAGGACGCGGCCGAGCTTGTCGCCGGCGGCCGGGGCAGGTTCCAGAAGGAGTGCAGTGATCGCTGCTGGCTGCGGGCGCCGTTGTGCTGGCTTGCCGCGTGGGTGTGGGGTTGGATGAAGGAGCTCGCGGTGTTGTTCACGGCCCTGGGCGGCGTATGTGGTGGCTGCTGCTGGTGCTGCTGCGCCGAGTAGAGCAGGCCGAGCGTGTGTTCTGAGGACAAGGTAGGTTAGCATGAATCACTGTGGCGGTAGTACACACGTGGGCCAGCTCGGCGGCTCAACATACGGTAGACCTCCGTCTCGGACGGGCGGTTGTCGCGGAAGCGCTTCATCGTGCGGCTAGGGAGATGAGATGGCGTGGACAGCCGCGGCGAGAAGAAACCCCGTCTCGCCGTGTCCATTGCTGACATGGCGTTGAAGTTGAAACTGTTGCCGTCTGTCCGTGAGGGTGATGAAAACGCGGAGGATGCAAATGATATCTCCGAGTCGGATCTTTTTCGCTTGGTGACCATGGCGGTAAGCAATAGATGTAGATTCAATGTTAAGTGATGATGGATAGCGCAAGCAAATACAATTGATAATCCCGAGTCCGATGCTGGGCAGCACACGAATGCAAGTCCCGAAGGCACGGATTGTTGAGGCAGATTGTATAATGGCTCGGCAGGCGCGTGGCCAATAATGGCAGAATAGAAAGAAGCTCGCTCGCGTCAATTGAGGGGTGATGGTGGGAATGACGCGTGTGAACCGCGACTCTAGTCAATTAGAGACGCGAACTTTGTTAGAGGGTTGGTCTGTGCTCCGAGCTTCGGCTTCTGTTCTGGAGACCGTACTTCGTAGATGTACGGCGTACTGTTGTAAAGTACTGTATTCGGAAATTACATGTACTGTACAGTATTGAAACTTACACCGAGCTTCGTGGAGTCGGTGGGGCACGAGGTACTCAGTACAAAATCATGATCGAACTTGCTCCCTCGAATTCATCTCCATTCTCCAATACCTAAGTACCTGAAATCACATGTTAGTGAACGCTTCTATTAACCAGCCATCCCTACCAAAGAGGGCGCAAAGGCTCTGGAGCTTTACTCCATGTCGAGTTTTGGGTAGTGACTTGTGCATAGGCAGCTTGACCATTTATCCTCGCCAACTCTAGAGTATCGATATTCATTCTTAATACCCCGCAACCATCACAGACTCACTTTCCCAAGCCTGATGGTGAAAGTGGAAGTACCGCCCGGTATCACCCCGGGAAGTTGTAGTGATCGACTGCGGTCGGTAGTATGAATGGCAGGCCGAACCGAGGTCATGTTTTCCCAGTTTCCGCAATTGGTAACGGGGCGCCCAGAGCCCCATTCCCGAGGGTGCATGCGGAGAAGGCCGTCGTCGGCAGGCACAGGCGGTAGATGATGATTCTTTCGCTGCCCACGTCATCGTCATTCTATCTCGATGCTTTCCGAGATGAGGGGGAATAACAGCTCCGGGTCGTGCTATATAAGCAAGGAGTCGCCAGGGTGACCTACCGTTTGGCTCACCCGCAGCACTGCACCCAGTTGTTCAGCGCGGTCCAACTCACAGGGTACAGTACCGCCTTTCTCCCCTACGATATCATGGCGGCCGCCGCCTTTCTGTTCGGGGTGGCGGTGCAGGCAGCGCTCTCTGCCGCCTCCAGACCCTGTTCACCGGACAGCTTCCGCGATGCGCTCCCGCCGTCCGCCAGCGTTCTCTCAGCTGTCTCTGTTGCCAATGGCGGCCAATTCGGTGAAGGTGCTGCGAACCTCCCATATCCCACCTCTCCCACCAACTTGCCCGAGTTGTGCGCCGTCATTGTCAACGTCTCGAGTTCGGCCATCTCCAACTACCGCTTCGGTCTTTTCCTCCCTACCCAGTGGAACTCGAGGTTCCTGGCAGTGGGTAATGGAGGTTTCGCGGGGGGTATCAACTGGCTTGACATGGGAGCTGGGGTACGCTACGGCCATGCCGTCGTCTCGACTGACACGGGCCACAACTCTACCAGCGGCGACTTGACCTGGGCCCTGAATAATGAGGAGAGAAAGATCGACTTTGGCTATCGCGCCATGCACGGTTCGGTCACGCTGGGCAAGAAGCTGGTTGAGGCTTACTACGAGAAGAAGATCACGTACTCGTACTACTCTGGTGCCTCGACCGGCGGGCGGCAGGGCTTGAAGGAGGCCCAGATCTCCCCAGACAGTTTTGACGGCCTCGTTGTCGGTGCCCCTGCTTGGTACACCAGCCATTTGCAAACGTGGTCCACAAGGGTTGGCGTGCGCAACCTCCCTGTATCGGATAAGAAGCATGTCAATGCCTCGCTCTTCAGCGTCATTGGCGAGGAAGTCATCCGCCAGTGCGACGGGAAGGATGGCCTGAAAGATGGCATTGTCAGCCGCCCTGACAAATGCAACTTCAGCCTTAAACCTTTGCTCTGCAGCTCACGAGGGGCCAACAAATCAGCGTGTCTAACCAAGGAGCAGGCGGAAACGGTGCAAAGCTTCTACGGCGACTACTATGCTGAAGGGAAATTCGCTTTCCCGGGACTCGAACTCAGCTCTGAATCTCAATGGGCTTTCCTTCTGGGCGGGTCCGCCCCCAGCAGCTACGGAGACGGCTATATCCAATATTTCCTGTACAACGACCCGAGCTGGCACTGGGAGCAATTCAATGACAGCATCGTATGGCAGGCAGACGCAGCAGATCCGGGAAACTGCACGGCCGACGACTACGATATGACTGCAGTCAAGGAGAGCGGGGCCAAAATTCTCTTGTATCACGGCATGGCCGACGCCCTAATCCCACAGCGCAGCTCCGACGTCCTGTACGAGCGCATAGCGGCGTCTATGGGTGGTGTTGGGGCTTTACAGAGCTGGTTTCGATACTTTTTGGTTCCCGGCATGCAGCACGTTACCGGCACTGCGGTAGACGCGCCGTGGTATTTTGCCGGCCCGAACTCGCAGGCGCGGCTGGGCACTGCAGTCTACTCTACGCCGGGATTTGAAGACGCCCGGCATGACGCGTTGCTCGCCATGATGGCGTGGGTTGAGAACGGCACTGCAATCGACGAGCTGGTTGCCACGACGTGGAAGGATTCTTCGGATCCGAGTTCAGGGGTACTTAGACAACGGCCTATCTGCCCCTACCCAAAACGGCAGACATATAGGGGCAGGGGGAATCCGGATGTGCCCGAGAGTTTCTTTTGCAAATGATGGACAACATTTACCGTGTAGTTTATCTGGCCAGGCAGGCTCAGAGGTTCTATCCGGTGGGATGTCGCAGGGCCAGATTCACCCACTTGGCATTTATTTGTACACTCATACCTCGGTATGTAAAAATGTAGGTACTATACGTATGTAACATATGCAATCAACGATGTTTCCGAAACTGACTTCTGGGTGGAAATTGCTGGTCCCGTGATCTGGCGTAGAAGGCATAACGCGCCTAAACACGTCGCGCCAGCCCCCACTTCGACCTTACTCCAACACACCGCTATCACGACAAATTCAAGTAGCTCTACGTGTCACCACCGGTGACGCACAGCTCTGGTGCCACTGTTGTTGTCATGGAACTCCGGGCTGTATTTCGCTCAAGACGCAGCAGGTTCCTCTTGATTGACGTTCCGATATGACCTCGGGGGACCAGGACGGAACGGAACGCGTCATAGCGGCCGAGGCCCGGGAACATGCCTCGCTCAAGTACTCGCTGCTGGGTCCGTCACTAACAAAGGCCGGCCAGGAGTCGGTTGATCAATCAAAGGTACGGCCCCTGGCCCTCGACCCCCGACCCCCGACCCCCGACCCTCGACGCTCGACCCTCGACCCTGCCCACCTTCTAATTTGCCTGGCCGGGGTTTCTAATATCATGACCACGTCCTAACCACATGCTCGTAGGTCTCAGAGATCATCTACAATGCTTCCAAGGGCTCCAGGTTCTTCAACCGCGAAGAGGAGAAGGACAAGATTCTGACGGCGAAAATCGACAACATCCTCGCCAGGAAGAAGCAGCTCGAAACCATCGACCTAACCCGTGAGCTCCGGGCAGCCGACAACCTTCTAGCCCAGTTGGAGCTGTCGCGCGACCTGACGCAGCACATTGTGCACATTGACTGCGACGCTTTCTATGCCGCTGTCGAACTGCTGGATCGGCCGGAACTAGAGGACATTCCGTTCGCCGTGGGCGGCGGCGTCCTGACCACATGTAACTATGTAGCCCGAAAATTCGGCTGCCGTAGCGGTATGGCCGCATTCGTGGCCAAGAAGCTCTGCCCGGAGCTAGTCATTATCCCGCTCAATTTTGACAAGTACAACGCGAAGGCAGCTGAGGTGCGCGACATCTTGGCCGACTATGACCCGCGGTTCGAGAGCGCCAGCATCGACGAGGCGTACCTAAACATCACCGAATACTGCGCCGAGCATAACATGGATCCCGCTGAGGTTGTCTCCCAAATGAGGAGAGAGATACATGAAAAGACACTCATTACCGTGTCGGCCGGCATTGCGGCGAACGCACGGCTTGCCAAGATCTGCTCCAACATGAACAAGCCCAATGGGCAGTTCGTCCTCCCCCGGGAGCGCGGCGCCATCATGGAGTTTATGCGCAGCCTGCCCTGCCGCAAAGTGAATGGCGTCGGGCGCGTCCTGGAGCGTGAGTTGGCAGCAGTTGGTGTCAGTACCTGCGGTGACGTCTACGCCCAGCGCAAGTACTTGAATCAACTCTTTGGCCAAAAGACTTGCGAGTTCCTCTTTCGCTGCTATTTAGGTCTGGGTCGGACCAACGTGCAGCCGGCGGAGGAGTACGAGCGTAAAAGCGTCGGCACTGAGAGCACGTTCCGGGACATGGACGATCCGGCCCAGATGTATGACAAGCTCCGAAAAACGGCAGAGGAGCTCGAGGCAGATATGCGGAAGGCCGAATGTAAGGGGCGCACCCTTTGTCTCAAGGTGAAACTACATACCTTTGAGGTCCTCACACGCCAGGTCGCCACCCCAAAGGCAGTGTTCCTGGCGGATGACCTGTACAACTTCTCATTGCCAATGCTGGTGAAACTTCAGCAAGAAATTCCCGGCTTAAAGCTACGCCTGATGGGACTGAGGTGTACCCATCTTGTCAGCACCAAAAAGCCAGACACGCGGGCCTTCTTCGGGCTGAGGCCGCGGAAATCTGAATCCGCTGGCTCTATTGAGGGGGGCAACGAAGAGGGCAAGTCCGCAGACAGCAGCAGCGAGGAGCGAGACGAGCCCAATGCCGAGCACAACCCAGACAGGATGAAAGGCCCCTCTTCTCGCAGACACGGAAAGGAGATTCTACCCAATCCAACAAGGGAACAATCAAAACCCGCGAAGGCCGAGGAGGAATGGTGGGACTGTCCCGTGTGTTCTAGGCCCCAGCCTGCCAACGAGAGGCAGTTTAATGAACATATTGATCTCTGCTTGTCGCGGCAAGCCATCCGCGACACAGTCCAGCAGGAGGCAGTCACCCAACAACCGCGTGACAGACCTCCTACAGAGGCGAAGAAAGTTAGGGATAAGAAACGGGGTAGGCCTGCGGCAGCTGCACAAGCAGGGGCAGATCCCAGGCAGAAGAAGCTCTGTTTTGGATAAACTCGGCCGTGGTGGGAGTTTTGTCTTCATATCTGTGATTTATTGCTTAGACATTTCTATAGGGGCGGTTTGTGCCGTGTAAAGCTCCCGGCAATGGCTAGGGTGATGACTATGATGATGACTATGACAGTTCCAAAGGGCTCAAACGCCTCGAAACGCCTCGCTATAAGCAAGCTTGTCAATCCATTCTTTAACCGACTCTCCCGTGTGCATGTGCAATACAATAAGGCAATAAATTCATCAGCTCCAGGCGTCGACGGCAACCCTCTGATTGGTTATGATCCTCCTGATGCGCTGGTCCTCTTCCTCCTCGTGGTGGAGCCTTTCCCCGGGCAGGCGCACGGCGCGGTCGAGGGCGACGGGCAGGTCGCGGTGGCGGCCGCGGAGCATGACGGCGCAGAGCACGAGCTTGGCGGCCGTCGGCCACGAGCCGCAGAAGCTGTAGGCGTCGCGGGGAAGGCCCACGCTGATTCCCACGCAGCCGTATGCCGAAACCACCTCGAAGATGACGTTGAAGGCGCTGTGGTTGATCGGGTCGGCGAGGAAGTTGCCCGTGTTGATGGTTATGATGACGAGGATGGCCAGCACCAGCCACCAAATATCGTGCGCCAACTGCCCGTTGATCTGCTGGCTGATGAAGCTGACGTGCGATTCTTGCGGGTTGGGTTTTGAAGAAGGGGGCGGACGGGCCCCGACACCGTGCCAGGTGAATGTGCGGCGGATGCCCCGGCTAAGGGTGCTTGTTATGGTGTTGGTGCGGTCGAGCCGGCGGGAATAGATGGACGCGGGATTTCCGACTTCTGGGTCGGGTGTGTCCGGGAGATCGTCCTCGGCGTATATCCCCAGGGAGCGTTCCTCATAGACGTTGGAATGCCGCATTGTGATGACCACGGGATACACGGCAATGTACATCATGATGAGATAGAGCACTTGCACCCCAATGTACAGCGACGAGATGGGCACGACATAGAACCCTCCCGAACGGACGGCTAGGAAGACAGTCAGCATACATACAATGGCTGTTCCCATGGTTCTGCGGAGCAGAGTAACAACATACCCAACGACTGAAAGAGACCGTCCAGCACGCGCGGGCCAACAGGGATGCTTTGGATCGCCGGGTTGCCCAGGTTGAGCAACTCGAAGGCCATCCAGTCAACAATGTTCAACAAAAAGAGCATGAAGACCAGCCACCAGGTAGCGCGGGAAGGGAACAGATTTGTGTACACGCGGCGGGGGTACTGAAGGATGAATCTGATGGTGTCTTTGAGGTCGGAGAAATCACCATCTTCCGTGGTGAGCTGCAGAAGCTTGAGGAACATCCAGAAGAAGAGCCTCAGGAAAATGGGGTACGCCGTATTGCCCGCCAAGATCAGCAAACCCATGGTAATAAGGACAAAGTAGGAGCTCTGGAAGGGGACCATGTTGGCGTCCAGCAAGGACATGCCCGAGTTGTTGAAAGCCGACACGCCGTTGAATATGCCCAGCCACCAGGGGTTGATACCGTTGTCCAACGACGTTTTTGCCTGATTGTTGTTGATCCAAGCACCGAGGGCGAGGCATCCGACCAGCTGCCAGAGAAAGAAATACAGCGGCACAATGACAGACAGCATCTTGAGGGCTCGGTATTCGCAGCCGCCGAGCTCCTCCCGCTCCTCGCTGCTCAGATCGTAAAACTGGGCGTTCCGGCCGGGAGACCCCTTTACCAAGAAATGCCGCATGCTCATATCGTCCTTTTCACCATCACCCGGCGTACGCTCACCTCCGTTGCGGTTTTTGAGGACTGACAACCGGTTTTGAGGAGTACGCCGGCTTGCCGTGGAGAAGGGGGATTTGTTTGGATGGGGAGTATCGAGAAAGACGATACTGCGACCAGGACTCAGAAACCGCTCGGGAGGCGCTGCGTCGCCCGCCGTCACAGCGTCTCCTGCCATCACAGCGTCTATGCTGGCGTCAGGGGCATTTGTTGCTGGCACAACCAGTGTTCCCTCGCCTGGATTCGGAGAAAACCCCGGCACAACCGATTTTGGCTCGCCCGGATTCGGCGAGAGACCCGGCACAACCAGCGTTGCTTCACCCGGATTCGGCGAAAGATTCTGCCCCTGGATGCCCAAGCCGCCGCGTTTCGGGGGTGCTGGCTGCTGTGGTGAAGCGATTGTGGATGCCTTGCCGAACGACAATATCCTCTGCAGCTTCGGTAGAGTAAGGGTGCTGCCCCCCTTATTAGCCAACCGGCGCATACGCTCCGCACGCACTATGTCCTGGAAGCGCTTCTCGAAGACGTGCTTGCGGGCCATGACGGTCCACGTGGATACCCAGATGGAACTTCCGAATATGATCAGGAGAAAGAGCAGGGTCTGCTGCCATGTTGTCATCTGACTCAGGTTAACCGTGTTGAGGCCCGCCTCAGTCATGGCACTGACCACGAGGAACAGGCTGTCGGTGTAACTGATGCTCCATGCCGGGTTCGATGAACACCAGAATATTACTGAGCTGACCAAGCAGACGGTGATAAAGTAGGCATAGTGAAGTGTAATGAAATTCAGGGGCGGAAGCCATGAGCGTATCTGGGCGACGACTCGCGGGATGCGCGAGGATCCATATGTGTGTCTGCCGTTCCGGCGCAGCATAGTCGTCGGTATGAAGAGAACCTCGCGGCAGATGGTGTCAGGCTATTAGTGATGATCGGAAGTGTTGCTGCTGCTGCTGCTGGTGGGTGAAGGGCGTTGCTCCCGGACTGCATTCCATGTCCCTGACCAACCGGAGCAACCGAATCTCTGCGAGGACACAAGAGAGCGTTCGTTTCTGAGTTGCCGCAAGGAGAATGTGAGAAAATGAAATCAATGCCACCAGGTTGGGTCTGAGAACTTCTAGTAGGCGACAGTCAGCAGCGTGCGACAGGCCGTTGCAATGTTCGAGTTACTGCCAACGCGAACTAACAACAGAAAGCGACAAGATGAGACTGGCAGCTGAGCGGCGCTGCGTGGCGCGGCTGTGAGAAATCGCCCGTCCATTTCCGCTGTGCCGCCGGCTGCTCAAAGCTTCGCCTGGAGAATCTGTCGCCGAAACAAGCATCTACCACCTTTGTTGGTTGGAAGGAGCCGATTCCTTGATACAGACAGCACTAAATCTGGGAGTCCTGGCGCGAGAGCGCTTACCACATCGCCAACGCCGCGATCCGCCAGGCAATCATGGCAACCATGGCAATGGGACGCGAGAGTCAAAAGGGAACATACGCCCCGCCTCATCTGGTCAGCTCAGCAACATCGGCTGGCCCAGCATAATGCCAGGCCTAGCAATTGAACATGGAATGGTGCAAGTCATGTTTTCAGCGTTATATCATGGTCAGAAGGGCAACTTGCAGACTAAGGTAGGTGAAAAAACCTTAAGAGACGCCTGTAGGTCGGAACACCGGCCGGTACCGGGAATAGGCAGCAGATTCGACAGCGAACATTTAACTCGGCAGAGCGAAAGATCGATTGATATATTCGGAGGGCGCCGAGAACTAGACCTTTTGCGAGGCTGGGACGACGCCCGGTAACTTCTGTAAAGTGGCAGGAGCCACTGCATTGTTTTCCTGTATATATTGTGGCCTGCGGGGCATCTTGAACTTGAACCTTCAGGCCACTCCAACCACAGGAAATACCACCCAATTATCCCACTCGTTTTTCACTTCTCAAGAACGCCCTATATCCAAGCTGCTGTAGCCCCACGCCCGCGATAACGGCCAGCATAGTGCACGTCCAGAACCCTATGCCGCCCGGTTCACCCTAAGAAGTGTTCGGTCTACAGCTAGCTGAGGCTATTACCGCCCCAAACCACTTATAGTTCATTGTGTTCTTGCGTGTCATCGGTGTCGGCAACCACCGTCTTAACCGCCTCGGCCGCGTCGCTCACCGCACTAGCGACCTTCTCGGCAACCTTCTGGCTCGCCGAAGAAGCAGGGCTGTCGGTGGCGGACTTGGTAACGATCGACTCAGGCTTGGGCACACCCTCTATGCCCATCAGCTCCGTCTCGAAGACTGCGCAGAAACGGAGCGGTCAGTAACACAGATAGGTAGCGTATGGGCGACAAAAAGTGCGCATCCGCAACGCAACCGACTTACCCAAGGTAGATCCTGCGGGAATGGGGCCGACTGCTCGCTCCCCGTAGCCATAGCTCGGAGCGATCGTTAGAGTTCGCTTCTCGCCAATGCACATGTCGAGCAGGCCCTCATCCCAACTGTCATCTCGTCAGAACCAAAATATTCTTCTGGGTAATGCAGGTTCTAGACCGTCCGCCTCACCCCTTGATGACCATGCCAGCGCCCAATTGAAAGCTGAAGGGGGCTCCGCGATCGTAACCTGACAAGGGGTTAGCACAAGTGTTACAGGCAGCCCCTCGCGCTCCGTCATCCGAAGAAGCGCCGTAGACGCGTAGGCGCAGGGCCGAAGAAGGGCCGGGGGAGGAACTGAGAGGTAAAGCGCGAGACTGACTGGCATCGAATTTCTGGCCATTGGATTGCAGAGTGCCCCGGTAATGAACATTGATTGTATCGCCTTTCTGCGTCTTTCGGTCGCATTCTACAGGAAGGGTAACGTCGATTTTGAGATCGTCCGAGGCAAGAACACCAACGGCGGCCGAGGCGAGCAGCGAAAGCGAGAGGAGAACGCGCTGCATCTTGAGGATAAGACGGTTGAAGCTGCAATGGGGCGGACGCGTGAGTAAGCCTATCAAGAACCAGGGGGACATTACCAGGTATACTTTACCTTGTAATGAACGGTTGGGCGGACAATTGTCGCAGGTTGGGCTTTGTGGTTGTAAAAGGGTGGGCAAGGAGAATGGCAGATTCAGCCAGATCATCGATATCGGGGCAAGCCGACGATTACCTGCAGGGAAAGCACATCACTTGGGTTGCGACGGTGATGGAGCCCCGCAGCTGTGGTGTATTGTAAGTTACCACCAATACAGGGAGTCATGGTACTGTACAGGGCTAGTTGCTTGTTTAGCGCGAAACTTACAAACAGGCACCGTCTGGATCCCTAAGTAGGTACGGAGGTACTCATCTCAACAGACGGAAAGAATTGATGGCCTGAACATGACAAGTCTGTGGACTAACCAGCAATGCTCGCAGAGGTGCGTTTCAACCATCACTATCTCCCGCTATAGAGAAAGCTGTTGTTCCAAAACGGGACCCCAGTATCGAGTAGGCTCAACTGTTGTTGGACTTTGTGAACTTCCAACTCGCAACATAAACCGTACTCTCTGAACCGCCAATAGAAGGCGCTGCTGACGAACTGGAGGCACAAAGAGTATGTACAGTACATGTTACAGTATGTACCGTACGTACGCCAGGCACGATGACTCTAGAGACACAACAGAAACGCCCATACGTCAATCTTGCAGGCCGCGAACTGTGAGATACCGCAGTCGGCCCCCGTCAGCCCCCGGTAGGTCCAATTGCCCTCGCCCAACATCGACGCAGAGTGGCGAGAAAGCAAGCCCTTGGTGATACAGACGTAGCGGACTCCGTACCTACACCTCGCTACACTTACACTAGAAATGGCTCTATGTGTGGGTACTTATGCAGGGGTCATGGCCAATCCGGTAATCGAATCTGCGGTGGGCCCAACCCAAAAGGTCAATTGGAATTGGCATTTGGAGAGTGCCTACTTCGTAGCGAAAGTGTCAATCTTGCTTCTGCTCACCTCCCATGTGCCCAATTGCGCTTTGGGGTTATCTGTGATTTGACAATTGCACGGGGGCGATGAAGCGATCACAAGGGCGCTTCTCTCAGGCTGCCTCAGGGGTTTGTGTTGAGTCATCACCTCAGGCCGTCCAGCCACCAGCGAAGGCAGAGACTGGCCAGTTTAGACGTTTGCTAGCGTGTAACTGGGGAGGCACCAATTCAACAGCTGCGTCATCAGGCAGAACCTACAACCCCTGGCCATGAGCGCTGCCACTCTAACACACTGTTGAGTATGAGATCGGCAACAGTTCGCAAACATGTGTTTGCTGCCCAAGTTGGCGCCTCTCAATGGCTCGATTCTCTGAGGAACGGTTGCTGGCTTTGCGCATCTTCGCTGAACCGTCTATGTATGCTTCGGGTGGTTCCTATTCGGCACTGGAACAGATCGGGCGGGGCTGCGCAACCGACTTGTTCATTCCGCCCTTTGGCATCTTCACGAAAACCGGGCCACATGCTCTTTTGTTGTTGCCCGCCAATGCGCCCTTCCTGCCTGAAAAGAACATTCACAGCAGAAATCGAAAAAAGAAGGCCAAAAGTCCTGGAATCTCGGTCTTCTATTGCGCCCCAATCCCGTTTCCCTACAGCCTTTTCTTGGCCCATCCATATGCCAAGCAGTACTCTTTGCTCCCGCGAGATATGGATCGCAGCGCTCGTCTCAGGTTGACTCACCGTCTGCTCAATCTCTCGCTCCACTTTTGTCCTTCATCGGCCAGATGAGCGACAAAAGACAGTACGCCGTTTGTAAGGCAACTAGCAGCCTGACTGGCCCAGGTTGAGATGGTAGTGGCCTTGCACTGCCTGGAGTCTAGGGACACGGGGACTCGACTCACCGAGCGTTCGCCTCGTCCTGGGGCTGGACCTTGAATGCCTTGGCTCGTTCAAGCAATTCGTCCTCAACCTGCCTCATCACTTAGATGGAGGCATACTCAGTTTGCCAGACCGCAGCAAGTGCTTGTCACCATGGCTTTGGTATTTAAACCCCGTAATCTCTTCTTCTGTCTCCTGGTGTTGGCTGCTCTCCATCACTGCCTTCTGTGTCTTCACTTGAGCCGAACAATCTTAGAAGAGTTATTGCTGCCTCTATCTCACCAGCCTCGAGTCCCTTTGTTGGTCTTCTGTTACCCTCTTACCTGGGTACGCAATGTCCTCGCACCAGACTTCGACATACGGGAGCCGTGTTGTCGTGATCCAGAGCAGCAACCGGCCTTCAGCTACCTACTTTGGTAGCTCCTCCTCAAGCCAGTCTTCCAGATACTCTACCTCCTCCTCCTCCTCCCAGAACTCCTTCTCCTTCTCGATGAACTCGTCAACCTCTTCTCAGCAGATTGCTGAAGGGCGGTACCGCTCTGGGCCCGCTGGGGCTGTTGGTTAGTTCCCCCAATTTTCAGATATACACGAGCATCAGGAGACTGACCTTTTTTTATCGCACAGGCGGGTACTACACGGAGGTAAAGGAGGTCAAGAACTCTCGCGGGCGGCCGAACATTGTCCTTATACAGCAAGGCCGGCCTAGTTCAGCGCAGAATGGCCGCGGGAGCAGCAGCGGGCAATGAGGAATTACTGCTGTGGGACGCTGCTCTATTCTTTTGTCCGGGGAACCGGCTCTGTCGGGCTGTTTAGATCGTTGGATGCTTCCGCGAGGTTGTATTCGGTCATGGCATGGCTGGCAATGGTTTTCCTGGTTCTCGATGAAGTCTTTTTGGTAAATGGCAACGGCGCTTGGGTTGGCATGCAATGATTTGGGATACATGCAGAAGAGGCGTATTAGGATACTCATACCTGGGCCCCCCTGGTAACAATGCAAACGCTGGTCATTTAATACTGCCATGGCATATGAGACTATGATCAGTAAACACTGCGCCAGTGAGTTAAGAGAATTACCAGGATCCCAAGACAAAGTGCTATGTGAGATTATGTGGTGGTCAAGAAAAGCTGACCTTGACTCGGTGACCAATCATGTCTACCCGGAGGTAAACCACTTCGCCCACTTACACTGCAGCTCAAACAACCACACCAATGTGCGGGGCCTGCAATGCTAGGATGGCGATACATAGTATAACCATAACCGATTGGGCAATTCGAAGTCCAATGTCGATGTCAAGGTTACTCAAATCGCCTGATTCCTCAGGCCGTGGATTTGGCATGCCTGACGACGCCTGTGCCCTCCTTTCAGGCTGTGTTACTGGCCGTGAGACACCGGAGTAGCTAGATACTGCCACTCATCCAAGTGAACCCTCTCTTATCGCGTCGTTCCAATGCATCACACCGGCCAAGTGGCGGCATAGCCCAGCGGAAAGACCTTCAAAGAGATATGAAAGACAGCTACACTACATTCTTATAGCATGTCCTAACAACATGAACCCTCCGGTTGAGCATCGACGCTTTACGCGCCGCCCTCCCGTTTTGCATACTCCTCCTCGATGGCCTCAGCATATTTCTCCTCAGGCGAGCGGGGGTCCTCGTGGAGTATGCCCTCCTTAATCAGCGTCTCTGGCGAGGGCCGATGCGCAATCTTCTCATTCAGCGAATCGGCTCGCATGTGTTTCTGGAGCTGTGGCACACATCGAAGTGAGATCAGCATGGTGGTGCCACATGGTGATTCATGGAGGTCAACAACTAACCTCCTTCTGCTGCGCCTGGATAGCCGGCGCCGCATTTGATGCAGGTAGGATATTCCCTGGATTGTTGGAGCAACGCGTCAGAAACACTGCTTGAATGTTGTTGAAGCTTCGGGGAGCTAGTCAAAGACGACAACAGTGCGTACTATCCACTAGTTCCTGCCGATCTGGCCGGTGCATCAGATGATACTCTAGCGAGTTCCTCCTTTCTGGATTGGGCAGACTGGGTGAGATGGGCGTCTCGTCAATGCTGCTCTCTGAGTTCTTCCTGTCAGCCATGATTCCTGGGATGCCAATAATCGACCTGTGTGAGTATGGAGTAAGATGGTGTTGCTCCAGATGATCGTTCGAATCGGGTTGCTAAGTTGCGACTAATCTGCGGGAACCGACGGGCTGATGTCCCAAACGGCCCAAACCGAGGGGTATCAGGGCCCCTTTATTTATAGTTGGGTAGAGCCACAGAGTTGAGCTGCTTGAAGCAGCCGACTGACTGGAGCTCTCTTTCGGGGGTCAGCCGCTTCGACGGTTGGGCTGCCCAATGCGGGGCAGCAGTCACTCCACACAATGAAGCTCAGGTGGGGGCAAACAAGCCCAACAGCTCAGCTTGCAAATCTTACTGGACAGCGTTTACAGCAGCATAACAGTGACGTAGTGCCCCTCATCGTCGTCGCTGATGAGGGCTGTTGTCCAGAAGCATGCATTTGGCTAAGTCTTTCGAAGGGTAAAAAATGAAAAGAAACAGTTAACCATCAATTACCCCAGGTGAGGTGTTGTATATACATCCCGCAATGACTCCTGTAGGATTCACTTCACGGTTCTATGTTTCATGTTTAACATACTGTGTAACATATGGATTGCAGTGTCATGCTGCTATCTAGGGAAGGTGGGGCCCTGTCAGCGGCAACGCTTACACCATCTTGGGTAGATCCCACCTCAGCCCTTTGTTGATTGTTCAACTCATCTTCACCTTGCAGGAATAATTACAGAACACCGATCTTCCACAACGCAGAACCCGCCTTACGAAAAGGGGAAATGCTCTGAGTGTAGAGGTCTTTTCCTGTTCGATTGCACCATTGCCTTGCCTGTCAGCTGCAATGCCCTGGGGGAAGGCTGCCAAAGATGGGCCAAGCTCAGTCAGATGAGAGGCCAGTTCCTCCATCTCATGAGAACATCGCCAAGGAGCTGGTGAGCAGTCTAGTCCAAATTTGACCGTGCTCCATCAGTCTAAGTGTCGCCATGTCTTATTCACAGGCCGACAAGTTTGCTCAGAAGTGCTTCACCTCGCTCGAGCTCTATTCCTTCAAAGACGTCTTCAAGAGCCTCGCAGACCGCCAAGATCATATACGTTATTTAAAGGAGGATACAATTTCCCGGTTCCTCGAAATTCCAGACGTGCTTGGAGTGTCACCGGTGCTCTTCCAGATGGTTTCCTACATTGGAGCTTTCCCATTCCTCGAGGATGCCCCTGCTGTCCTGGGGCTGGAGCAGATGGTTATGGTCGTCACAATCCTGACGGAGAGATATGGCCGAGTTCTGGCTCGGGGTGCCACAGACCGGAGAAAGCTACTGTTCAAAAGCCTCGCCGTCTATGATCGCAAACTCTCCGGCTTGTCCCCGAGCGAGCAAAGAAACGTAAGGGAGGAGAATCCCGAAAACAGTAGGGATCAAGCCGTCAATGCAATACCAGTCTCGGCGCGGTCCCTAAGGTTCGCTGTGGATGAGGCAAAAGAAGAGGAGGACTCGGGCGCTGAAGAAGATGACGAGTTAGTCCTCGCAGCCCTCGGCTCCCTGGATTACCTCGGCGCCTTTAAGCATGGGAGTTCTCCCGCCACCCACAACGCCATGATTCCAGCAGACAATTGGCGCAAGATGATCATGCTTCTCTTACTTGTCGCGCCACTGGGCGCCCAAGAGAGCTTGTCATCATACTCGGATCGATTAACGGGCAGCGAGCTGGAGGGCCTCAGAGCGACTGCAGACTGCGTGCTCGCGTCCTTCTTAAACGTTGAACAGGCAGCTGGCATCAAGTTTGCCCAGTTCAACGCTATCATCCCAGCATTGATGCCCTTCATCTTCGGTGGTTTCACTCCACTCTTTGAGCATTTCTTGTTTTCGAAGAACCTGGATTTCCGCAGGACCAAGGACGGGTCCCCAAGGCCTGCGACTTCACCGGCCGAGCTGGTCCAGCCGCTATTGCAGGATCGGGGGTCAATAATGAACCACAATCTCCTGTCGCAGATATCCTTTTTTATCCCCAGCTCATCACTCTTTCGCAAGCTTCGCCTCTTATACTCCGGTGATGAGGATGGGTTCAGCATGGGCAGCTTTGAGTCAAAAGTCTTCAACTGGAGAGCACCGACAATTCTTCTCGTGAGCGGAACTCGCCTCGAGGATGACCCAACTCACAAAGGCATTGGGGCAGAATCCGCCTTCCTCAAGACCCTGCCTTCCAGACGTTTCCCACCTGGTAGTCTGGTCAAGAACGAGAGGCTTACCTACGGTGTCTACCTGAGCCAGCCCTGGAAATATACACACCGCGAGTGCTTTGGCGGCGAAGATACCCTCCTGTTTCAGCTGCAGCCTATCCACGATGTTTTCCGCGCCTCCACGGTAAACAGAGACTATGCATCGTTCAACAAGCCATCCGCCTCTGTCCCAATAGGGGGGGTATCGTTTGGCTGCCCTCCTCCACAGTCCACTCAGGCCTACCGTCGATCCAACGTTGTGTCGCTTGGGCCGGTCTCCCTGGCCCTCGATAGCAGTTTCGAGTTCGGTTGTTTCACGCACAACTACACATCTCGGGGCGGCGCATTCCAAACCAGCGTTGCGAGGAAGTTCGATTTCGAAGATCGCTTCAGAATTTCAAGCATCGAGGTCTGGGGATGTGGCGGAGATGAAGAAGCCAGACTTCAGGCTGAACGGTGGGCGTGGGAGGCTAGGGAGGCCGAGGCGAGAAGGCGAGTCAACCTTGGCACGGGCGATATTGACGCTGACCGCGCTCTTTTGGAGATGGCCGGCTTGATAGGCGGAAACAGGAGCGGCGGTAGCATGGCTTAGCATGACACAGGTCCATGCTCGGGGTTTTGAGCGACGAAGTGGCCGTGGGATGTAGCCTGAGCCAGATCCCAGGATATCCAAGCATATAGACTATTTCGCCTCTGCAAAGAGAAAGGAGAGCCTAGAGAATATCCGGTTGGTCAAAGAGATGCAGAGTTGTTTGCCGCCCCTTGCTCCAAGGATTTTAGTCGCATATCATACATTACAGTCCTAATGCCGCCCCATATGAATACACTCGCGCCCCGTCACTTGCACCTTTTTCACTTTTCGGAAACGGGCTTCCGATGATCCTCCGGGCTCTGAAGCGGCTGCTCTGGCGTCCCTTTGGACCTACCGAACAACCCGCCCAGGGAGTTTAAAGAGTTTAAGAGTCCACTTTTAGGCTTGTTCCCGTTGTCGGGCGCCCGGCTGGGTTCCTCTTCGACCGGGTCGCTATCTGTCGCTTCTTGCTTGGCATTCGCAGGCTTGGCGGCTTTGGCCTCTCTCAGAGCGGCCCTCGCCTGAGCAGCGACGCCATCTGTGCCGGTATCCTGGTCGGCGCGCTCGGCCGCCCGTTTCCGTCTCCGGTCGAGTTTCTCCCTGAACGCCTTTTCCTCCTCGTCGCGGGCCTCCAGCTCCCGGATCCATTTCTGCCGCTTTTCCTCGGCCTCCTGCTGTTGCTTCAGCTTCCAGAGCTCCCGCTGCTTGTGCCGGTCCTCAGCGTAGTACATGCCGCCCGCAACCATGGCTACGACGGTAAACGCCTGCGCGGCGACACGCGCCCGGAACATGCGCTGAACCTTGTGGTGGTCGCCCCGTCGCATCGCTCGGTAAGCGTTGGTGAATGCGGCCACGGTGAGCAGCGCGCCGATGGGGACGAGCGGCTCTTCTCTGAGACGACGGACAACCTTGCGAAGGCCGGATTCGTTGTAGAAATCACTGTGTAGAAGTAAAGACCCACGTAAGTTTCTTGTCTCGTGATCGAGGCAGGAGGGGGTGGAGGCCGAGGGCCAGGACAAGTACGGGCTTACTCATTTTCGTCGAAGGACGATGGCAATGGCCGACTATTAGGCAGCGGCTGGTCTGACATGATGGGCAGTACGATGTGTCGAGTTAGGTATCGTGTAGCCTGCTCACACAGTTGGATCAAGCCGTCTTTCGTGGAGCTGTAGCATACGATTTGGTGATGCGAATTACAATGCAACCCGCAGCCCAAGATTTGCGGGTCGCTTGGCAGCATAAGGTGCTGGGAGTGCCTTAGCGTTGAGCGAGAGAACCCACAAGAGCACGAACCACTTACCACTTTCCCGACCTCGGGAGTGTACTGTACATACCGTATATTCTTGAGAAATTGAGCTGACCCTACTGCAAATGCTAAGGCTAGCAACCAATCCCAGCCTTACTCTGTCCTACCTGCTTCAACTTTTCATGCGATGTAATGTCGAAGCATACGGTTTGAAGTGGGCGGGACACTGAATAGATACGTTAGACTCGCAGTACGGTCGGCTCAATTTCCCAAGAATATACGGTACATACGTCCACAATCAAGGGACCCCGCTATTTCAAACATCTCGGACTATGAGTCCAAAGTTCATGAACTGTCGCCGTAGAACAGCAATCCCAATCGCAGTACTACATGGCTCAATGTCACCAAGCATGTACATACTTGTGCCTACTATTCATTATTTCAAGGTACCATTAGCTGAATTGCGAAAAGAAACCCCACTGTGGAGAATCGTGTTGATGTACTGTACCATGTGATGTTGGACTTAGACCGCTAGTGTAATTTACCTTATGGAGTGTCCCAATGTATGTACCTTATACAATGCAATCGATACAGTTTCTTCTTTTTACTTACGCATATACGGACGTAGATGCACTCTGGATATACAGTCAAGAGATCCAGGCAGCTTTGCAGTGCTGCCCTTTGCTGTATCAAGCTGTTCTTCAGCTAGATTCGGAGCCTGATTAGCACTGACTCGTCACAAAGAGGAAGATAAAAAAAAACCTTTCGACTCCCGGCCTCTCAAAACGTGGGCAAGCAAGTCTGTCATTGTCCCAAAACTCCCACCCGGCCTAGGGCCCCACCAAAATTCGAGCCGATAAGAAAAGACCAAAACGCAAGACTTCCCTTCCGCTGCTTCAAACCTCATTAGCAGTCACTTGTGTCGCCAGGAAATGATGGCTGCCACAGGGACCGACGGCCCGGTCCACGTCAATGGCGAAGGAGAGTCCCCCGCAGCTGTCAATGGCGCAAGCAGCACCTCGCGGCCTTACACACCGCCGCGGATGGCCGACACAGCACTGCCCAGAACTCCATCCTTGACCAGCTTCTCTCTTACCGAGTACAGCGCAAGGCCCACGCCGCCGTCCGAGGACCGGACGACACACCTGAAGAAAATTGTGCCCGACGAGTTCCTCTTGCCCAACGGGTGCCCGGACGTGAGTCACCCCATCGCTGTCCTAACGGCCCGTAGGTTAAACTGGACCACAGTACTTGCGGCTCATCATCACTTCGTATCCTCGTGTCAGAGAGGTGTGCAACGAGACTCCCCTCGTACCTGCCGTCAACCTGAGCAACCGCCTTGAATGCAAGGTCTTGCTCAAGCGCGAGGATGAGCAACCCGTCTTCAGCTTCAAGCTGCGTGGCGCCTATAACAAGATGGCCCATCTGGACCCTGCCGAGTCGTGGAGAGGCGTCGTGTGCTGCAGCGCTGGCAACCACGCTCAAGGCGTGGCCTATTCTGCTCGCAAGCTCAAGATCCCCGCCACCATCGTGATGCCCAAGGGCACGCCAAGCATCAAGCATCTCAATGTGTCTCGCATGGGAGGCCATGTCGTACTCCACGGAGCCGACTTTGACGAGGCAAAAGAGGAGTGCGCCCGGAGGGAGAAGCAAAACGGCCTGATCAACATCCCCCCATTTGACGACCCATATGTTATTGCAGGTCAGGGCACCATTGGCCTGGAGATACTGGCTCAGACAAACTTACAAAAGCTGGAGGCCATCTTCTGCTGCGTAGGAGGCGGTGGTCTCATCGCCGGTGTCGGCGTATACGTGAAGCGCATTGCGCCCCACGTAAAGATCATCGGAGTCGAAAGCTACGACGCTGATGCCATGACCCAGTCCTTAGCCAAGGGAGAGCGAGTATTCCTGAAGGATGTGGGCCTGTTTGCGGATGGTGCCGCGGTCAAGACGGTAGGCGAGGAAACATTCCGACTCTGTCAGGAGGTTGTCGACGACATGGTCCGGGTGACAACAGATGAAGCCTGCGCCGCTATCAAGGACATGTTTGAAGATACTCGCTCTATCCTCGAACCTGCCGGCGCATTGGCCATCGCCGGACTCAAGAAATGGGTCGCCGCCAACCCGTCCAGCGACCGGACGAGGTCAGTCGTGGCCATCACTTCCGGTGCAAACATGAACTTTGATCGTCTGGGGTTTGTTTCTGCTCGTGCTACCTACGGAGAAGGAAAAGAAGCTCTGCTGGCCGCCAAAATCCCAGAGAGGCCTGGCGCCTTCGCCGAGCTGATCAACGCAGTCATGCCCCATCCCGTGACCGAGTTTAGCTACCGTTATGCTAGCGAATCCGAGGCTCATGTGCTCATCGGCATCTCCTTGACCGCCCCGGGGAATCAACGAGCCCAGGAGCTGCAGACTATCATCAGCCGCATCAAAGAATCCGGGAATATGGATGTGACGGACTTATCCGGTGACGAATTGGCCAAGAGTCACATCCGCCACATGGTTGGAGGGCGGTCCAGCGTCCCCAACGAAAGGCTCTACATGTTCCGCTTTCCCGAGCGGCCCGGGGCTTTGGAGCGCTTCCTCAGGACGTTACGACCAAAGTACAATATTAGTCTCTTCCAGTACAGAAACTATGGTGGGGATATTGGCCAGGTCTTGACTGGAATAGTCTGTCCAGACGAGGAGATTGGAGAATTACAGAGGTTTTTGAAGGAGATAGGATACCCCTGGGAGGACTGTACTGAGTCTCCGGTATTCAAGACATTCCTCCGAATGTAACTGCAGGAGATTCGGGAATCATGAAAAAGTCAAGCAGAGGGGAATATTGGTCAACATATAGAGTTCAGGCCTTGAAAATTGTCCATGTAGTGCGAGAACTGCTCTTACAACCTTGGAGATAATGGGTATCATTTTAAGTAGGGGTTCCAATCATAGTGGTGTTTCCGCTTATTAGCAGCTACTTAACCCTAGTAAGCCACAGAGTTATAGCTGTGCGAGCGGGAAGCCCACCATGATTGGGAAACCTAGTCTCTGGTTCACAGACTCTTTCTTGAACTACAAAACCCTACTGCGCATAATATCAGTTTCATATGCTCAAATAACATTGGCAACAGAGCGCTTGCAACTCTAGAGAATACAGAAGTTCAGGCCAAAAGTGCGTCTACTAAATCGTTACCTAAGCCAGCGCACAGGTCATACAGTGCTCCGTTC